TAATATGGTATTGTTTTTTTATTTTGTTGCGTTTTTAGTTGTATATATTTATTTGTACATAGGTAGTATTGCTTCCATGCTATTTTTACAAATCATCATAGTTATTTTCATATACAAAAATAAGAAATTTTATTGTGAGGTAAATCTAGGAAGATATATCCCAACTACAAGAGAATGTATCTTTTTGAGGATTTTTTACACAATTGTCATGTTCAATAATTCTTTCTTTGATTTATGTTATTTATTTTGAATAGTGTTCACCTTTATTTTTTTACTTTTATTATGTTTTATTTATTTTATTTATAAAAAATGTGAAATAACGTTTTTGTGAGGAGAATTTATGAGAAAGTCTCCTAACTATAAAGGAATTACTTTCTCGATTATTCACGCTTATTTAAATAAAATCGAATGAATAAAATGATCGTATTTTAAATATATTTTCGAGTTTATAATTCCCAATATTTAAACACCATATAATCATTTAGGTATTTTGGGCGCTGTGGGGGTGCTAATCCTTTCCTACACGTAATCGACTCCCGAACCCGTTTTAATCGAACTTTTGGTAAACACAGACCAGCTTTTGTCTTAAAAACGATTTTTCTTAAAATTGTTTTTAAAAGACGTTTTTAGGTGTTCAACCTACCTAACCCAAAGGTTGATGGCGACTTTTTCAATTTAATTCAAATTAATCCAAAATCATCAAATTTTCCAAAATTAAAATCGTAATTGTTTATAAAACGATAAAAGAATTGTTTTCAAAAAAATGGTTATGACAATAAGAATTATACTAAATTTTTTTTAATCGTAAAATTTATAAACCCTGACAATGATATACCTTAAAATATTGAATCCTTCAAACTTTAGAAACAAATCAAATCGAAAAAGAAAAAGAAAATTTTGATTTTCAATGATTGAACATGCGATGATACCACTTGTTAGAACTAAAACATAATAAATATGAAATTAACGAGGATCTAATCATGCCAAATCATCAAGAATAAAATAAGCAGTAGATGAGAAAGTGTACCTGAATTTATTGATAGGTTGAAACCATTGAATCTTTATTTGGTCGTGATCTTCCAAGAAGATAGAGTTTCATTAAGTATAAGCTCTCTGACGAGATAAAAGTAAATACGAGATTGTCAATTTTTTTGGGACTATAACCCCTTTATATAGTTGATTTAAGAATTAGTTATTGTCTATACTTATAACTCGGCCCCTCATCGAATTATAAATACAACTTTAATAGTAACTACACTTTATTTTCATGACACTATACCTTATGACTTTATAATATAATTGGTCACTTAATTTATGTAATATTTTATGATAACGATATACATTATAATTTATGTAATATTTTATGATAACGATATACATTATAATTTATGTAATATTTTATGATAACGATATACATTATAATTTATGTAATATTTTATGATAACGATATACATTATAATTTATGTAATATTTTATGATAACGATATACATTATAAGTATGTGCCAATAATTATGGAATTTAATCCAAAAATGACAATATGAAACCGGTTGATCTCGTAGAAAACCCCATGCTAGTATAATATATAACTTTGGTTTGGATGATATAAATGATTCCTGTAGGACAAGAGTGCAACTCAATGGCAGTAAGATATGTGATAAAGAAAGAACAGATATAGTCGCAGACAAAAACATAAAGTCCAAGATATAAAACATCTGATTCATAACGCCGTTCTTAAAAGATGATATACGAATGCTACACAGAGTCACAACCATGGGGCAGAATATAAATAACAAGTTTTATTTAACGAAATTAAATAAGGCCATATGCTTTCCATGGCCGAAGATAGGGAATTAAGAAGATGAGCTCCATAGCCATCAACGTTCATGTGGTTTTATTCCTCTTAATAAGAGAGGGGGGGGGGGGGAGAATTTAAGCTGTGGGGAAAAACATAGCAAAGAAATCCAATGCAAATTTAGAAATGCTTAAAAAAGAACAAACAAATTTTAAAGGTTATCTCAAATAGCCTTGGTAAAGTCGGTTGTTTGTTGTTGTTTCTGAGTCAAATCGACTTTGACAATTAATTCTCTTTCTTTATTTTTTATGGGAGGGAGCGATTTTTCATCTTCACTTCGTATATTTTTTCTAGAAGTTGACCAAGGATGATAATGTTGATTTTCAAAGATGGTACATAATATACATCTGAGATGTATTTTTTTCTCCATTATTTTGCGTAATCATGACTTCGCCTGACTTCTGCGTGTGAGTCATCTCCAACTGTTACTCGACCATGGACGGTTTCATTTAACCTCACAAACAACTCCTTTCGACTACACATGTGGTTGCTAGCACAATTGTTGAGATACCATATATTTTTCTTGAATTCTCCATCTCCTTTGTAAGGAAAACATGGGATTTCTCAACATCTTCTTCTTTAGCAGCTGCTACATTATTTCTTTCTTCTTGTTTGGGAGTTGATCTACATTCGTAACTAAAATGACCATATTTGTTATAATTATAGCATTACACCTGAGATTTATTTCCTTGTTGATATCGACCTCGACCTCGGCCTCGACATCGGCCTCTAAATCCTCGTACACGACTTAATGTCTGATAATTTTCATTTGATTGAATGGTGCCATATGAACGACTACCACGTCCACGAGTTCCTCGTCCACCTCTAAATCTACCACGATAACTACCACGACCTCGTATATAGCAGTTGCTAACTTCACCTTAATTGACATTCATCTTACTTTGCAAAGCTTGTTCTAAATTTTCAATATCTTTGTTTTGCTTCATCTTCTGCTCATGGGCTTGAAGTGAATCCACAAGTTCATCGATCAATATCTGGGATAAATCTTTTGATTCTTCAATTGCAACAATCACGTAGTTGAACTTACGTGTTAACGACCTTAAAATCTTTTCCATCACTTTGACCTCGTCGAGCAATTCTCTATTCATTTTCATTTCGTTTATTGCCACTTTAACACGACTAACTTAATCATCTATGCTTTATGTATTTTTCATTTTTAGTATTTCGAATTCAGCTCTAACTGATTGCATTCGTACTTTTTTTTCATTTTTGACACCTTGAAGAGATTTTTGCAAAATCTCTCAAGCTTGTTTCGCGGTCTTTGCATCTGAGATTTTTTTCAAAGAGATCAACTCTTTGAAAAATAAAGAACAACGCCCTTTTCTCTTTTTTACGTGATTCTTCCAGTGCCTTCTTCTCTTCATCAGTTTAGCCGCCTATGTTACTGCATTTTCTGGTTCGGCATAACCATCTTCGACAACATCCCAACAATCTTAGAAACCAAGTAACACTTTTATTTAAATGCTCCAATTACCTTAATTCGTCTTTGTCAACCTTGGAATTTACGGTTAAATCATACTGGCCATCTTCACCACTACGTAAATTCAAACCAAACTCTGATACTATTTGTTGGAAGATTTGATGGACACTCGATATATTATATAATTCAAACTATTATTGATATGAACAAAATACGATACAACGATATTACCCCGATACTAAGACACGAGCTACGACTAGTTTACAAACTAAAACTTTGTTAAACTCTCTTAATCTCTCATAATTTTTCCTCTTTTTTTACTCACTCGTATATATCTTCTAAACTAAAGCTAAGGATACACATATATTTATATTGTACTAAACCGCCTCATGTTGCTGATTTTTCTTGCCGCCTCACCATCTTAATTGTTAAGCTTTGAATTGGCTGCTTCCAAGTTAATTCTCCAAATGGACACGTTCTTCTCCAAGTAGTTTTTACTTGCCTTGATAAAATTTGGTGCCACCTTTCTTATCTTTTGCCTTCCACGTTAATGTGCTTAGTTGTTATGCACATGACATGTTTTCTTTAATTTGCTGTCAACTTTTCTTAATCACCAAGTGGTTATTTATGAACCATGCAAGGTTGTCAAATCATCCAAGCTTTGTGAGAGTTGAACACTAATTGCCACAATTCTTTCACGTGGATACTTCATATCCATGTTGCCACATGTTTGCTTTGTTGTCCATTATCCTTGAAGGATTATCCATGCTTTGCCGAGTGTTTGCCAACATTTAAAAATCGTGTTTGAATTTCTAACCTTTTGAAACCTGATTTCTTTAATCAAACCCCCCTTTTCTGGATTTGAAATTTGTAATTTGTGCAATCGAAAGGGCATTTACACGATGATCGTATGGTTTTATTTCGGAAAAAGAAAGCACTAAGCATTTTTTGAATTCGAAAACCTTATTCTAAATTTTTAAAAATAGAAATCCCCAAATCTTATCCCATTTGCTGAAATCAAATTATCTTTTGTTTCTAAATTTGGAAATGTGTGCTTCATAGCTAAAAGAGTAGATGCGAAATATTGTTTGATTATTGAAAAAGACGGTCACTTGTCCCATTTTCTTCTTTATCTTCTTGTTATTCTCATGACCATCCTATTATTCCTTATAAACAGAAATTTTCTTGGTCACAACTTTGTATTTGTGTATTAAATTGAAAATTTAAAAACAACTTTTAAATTTTATTGTGGAATCGATCTTTGTTTGAGTCTGTTTTATACATAGATATCTCAATAAATTTTAAATATCAAATTACGAAAACATTTATTAATTGATCAAGTAATAAAAGATATTTATATTATCTTATTTTTGTTAACATCTACTTAAGAAATATAATGTTTATATTTAATAAAAACTATTTTATTTTACTGTCATATTTCTATTACGTGGAAATAGGTAACAAATGCATTTTTGCATTTTATTTTCGAACTGAGCTTTCATTTTCGTTTAACATGCATGCTCAAAAATTAAAGAATGAAAAGTATTTTCTGAAAATAAAAATATAATATTTTAATCAAATAAAGCATTAGGATATCAGCGTCAACCTTATGTTTATAATGAATTGCTGTCACTTATAATTAAAAAAAAACACATAATTAATCAATTATGTATAATAGAACTTGCTAAAAACTTAATTCATTTGTTCTATAATCGTTGCCTATCTTCTTGCGTTTCAAGAAGATCCTCCAACAACTTGTTGTCCAGGTACTCAAATTCAATAACTTCCGTTTTACGTCCTCGTGTGGATGATGAAGCCGAAGATGGCGGAGGCAATGTCGGATTCTGATATTGGCATTCGTTCGGGAAGTTGAGGATAGCCGAGTGACCCCGAAAAGCATAAGCAGCCCTGTCATAAGCCCTTGCAGCCTCTTCAGCCGTCTCGAATGTTCCAAGCCACAACCGCGCTCCGTTCCTCATCGGATCACGAATCTCCGCCGCAAACTTCCCCCACGGTCTCCGCCGAATCCCCCTGTATCGAACCTCCCTGTTGTCCCCAATGTTCTTCCCACCCTGGGGTGCTTCCATTCGCTTTTTTGTTTTCAATGAAGTTAATTTACAAAATGAAGACACTTATAAATATTACTCCATGGTTATTATTATTATGGGAGAAAACCAGTCATAGGTGACGATCAGAATTGGTTGTTGCGAGGAAATTTCCTAGGAGGAGGGGAAAAGCAAAACTTGGATGTCTGAAACAACTAGTAGACCGTAGTAATGTTTTCTTTTTGCTGCTGAAAGATTAGTGGTGGGGATTTTCATGATGCTATTGGTGACGAGTTTCTTATGTGGCGGCTCTACTTTGAGCGAATTCATCTTGCCATTGCTTTGTGTGCCTTTTCCTTTATGTTGGTTCTACGTTTTCAAATTATAAAATTGTTAATAAGTTGTCACGATTGTTGACGATTTATTTAATAAAGAATTGTGATTAGTGAAAGATAAACCCAATTCAGATGTTGTTCTACTTTGAGCGAATTATGATTAGTGAAAGATAAGCCCATCAAGAATGATGTTGGTTTGATAAAAATTTGGACTTTTATTGGCTTAACGGTTACTTCAGTCCCTGTTCAATTCAGAAGCTTAAAATTTGGTTTCACTTTTCTTAAGCATGGAAATCTAGTCCCTCTACTTGTTTGATTTATAAATTAAAACCCAATTTACAACATCCTTCTTGCTCGGCAATCCGATCACAAAATTCTGTTAAACTTGAATATGTATTATTTCAATGTTCAAAGGCCTAATTTAAAAACAAAAAGTGCAGTTGATAACACATTTAATGTTCAAAAGTATAATAGAGAGTCAAACGATTCATTGGATGTGGAAGCAGCAAATCCCTAATTTATGCTTGATGAAAGGCAGGACAACATAAAAGAACAAATTGCATTTTATAATTTAATATGCTACGCTTTATTGGTTGTACATGCAAAATGATAAAAACATTAATTTCATCAATTATTTTCTCAATCCCCACCTACTACAAACCTGAAGCTGATTCAATATTCTTTTCACACTCAACTCAACCTTTGGTACTAAACCCTTGGCAAATTATTATGATTTTCTTTAGTAAACGTTAATTTTATTAAAAAGAGAGAGCATCCAGAATTGAAATAAATATTTACAATTATAATTATAAATTAAATATATAAATAGGAAATTTCTTATCATCATTAATATAAGAAACTAGCTATTTAATACCACACAATGATCATACAGTGATACGATTAAAAAAGTTAATAAAAAAACACGAACAAAAGATAGTTACAAACATATCTGATCGCATTGAAAAATGAACTACAAAAGAGTATCAAATTACTAAAAAAAACATTAAAAAATCGTAAATCAGAGTCGAGCGACGTGAGAAAATTATCCACGAACATAAATCGTGTATCTAAATCCATTCTGAGGGGTCCAAAGTATGAAAGATCGACATGATAACAAATAAACGTCATATTGATCAAACATTGCAATGCCATATCCAACCCTAAGGAAAAAAATAAATAAAAATAACAGTCGAACGACCGAGAACGTATCTTAAAGAAAAAATATTAAAAAACTAGAAAAAAAAAACAAAGATGTTATATTAAAACAAAATAAAAAATATCGACAACAACGACCATCAGCAAGATTGGTGTCATCGTCTATCGACCATCAATGGATGAATAAAGAGATAATCGACGTTTAAGTTTTTTTTAAAACCTTCAATAGTCCTCAAATTATTATGATTACAAAATTCGTTCATTTTAGTTGACATCATTATTACGATTACATATTATAAATATATCAATTTTTGATTTAAAATTTTAAAATAATACTTAATTTAAATACTATGGAGTTGAATGGTTTATCCACACAATTGTCCTCCGGTAGCCGTCGATGTTGAATATGTTTAGATTTGTACGAGGAATCTGTCTCCGACAACTTACCGGAAGCAGCACTGATACTATTGGAATATCCCCCCCCCCCCAAAGAAAAACCCTGAAAGGCAAAGACCAAAGACAAAATTAAAACGTCTTCGTGATGCTCACTTTTTGTTTATACAATTATATAATCTAATAAATTAGTCCTAAACATCAATTTATTAATAATTACTTGCTCCAAGCCGTTGTGCTGTGCATTTACCCGATACTGCTCTCCAACGAATGACACGGCCCTGAGATGGATTTAGATTCGGTTGTCCCCACCATCTTTTTAATTAAGAGTTGAAACTTAACACTATTATTTTCAATTAATTATGTCTTATTCATATGCTATTTTCCTCATATAATAGTCAGTTTTGGACCTTCGACGAGGAATTTAAAGACTTCCAAACCCTTGACGAGTTTTTATGTGAATGGGATCCTTCATATTTAGACCAAATATTTATTAAAAGATATTTGTGCAAACCACTCATTTTTTTATTACGACTATGTATCATAATAGGCTAATTTAGGGAAATAATAAGAAAATAAAAAATAGGCTAACTTGATATTATTTCGGAATGTAGATTAAAATGAATAGTTTGATGTAAAGTCGTTTTTGGGTTTTGTCTAAGAGGTTGTGTGTTGGTTCAAATTCGGCTTGTTTTTTTTTTTAACATTTGAAGTCGATGATAATTGATCATGACCGACAAAATGGATGACTTCAATAAAATAAACCGAATTCAATTGGGTGATAAAGGATTAAATTAAAAGAAAATAAAAGTTAGGAATCAGTTAAGAAAATTGAAAAACTAAGGACAATATCCAAGAAGATACGTATGTTTACATGCTAACATAAATACGAACATGTATTAACAAGAATTTGGTCAGATGACCAATCATTCAAAAAGAGATACATCACTTTTTCTTTTTTATCTCTAATTTTAATGTTATTTGTTAATAGTCGGTATTTTTTATTATTCTTTTATTTTTTATATCACATTTTTATTTTTATTTTTTTGTTTTTAATTTTCAACAAATCTTTCTTTACGAAAAAAAAATTTCATATTTTTTTTAATACATCTTTTTTATCGTTTAACTATTATTTTCACTTATCGAGTTGATTTAATTGTTAGAATACTTAGCCTTTAGTCTAAGTGTTTGTTATCCAAAACGGCGGCTCATTATAACTGTTTCCTTTGTATCTACCTAAGTTGGGCTTTAAATAGTTGTAGTCTGACTCGTTTGGGTCATGAATTAATTCTTCAATTTAATGAGATTACAATGTTATTTTCCCTAATCTCTCTTTTCACTCTCTTTGTTTACTTTAAAATTATTAACGCCGATTGATTTAAATATTAAATGATTCAGAAATTCTGTATGAATTAACTCTGAATGTGACATGTTTGATAATGAATCTGAATCATTCATAATGTACTTCTATATTGAATCATTCAACACTATTTTATTGAATTAGTCAACTGAATCATTCAGAAATACTAAACAAACTACTAAATACTGAACGGTTCAACATTCGACTGTTAATGATTCCGAGACAAACAAACAGCCGCTTAGTATATTTCCTCTTTTCTTCTTTCATAACTGACCTAACCGTCAGTCTTCTTTGTCAAAGTCCTTCGTCGGACTCTTTCCTTCCGATCACTGGTTTCTAATATGATATTAGAGCCTCTATTCGTTGATGCTGCTGTGTTCAGATCGGCGAACGATTACTAGTTTCTTCGTGTTAGATCAAGGTTTGTTGTGTGTAAGCTTGAATTTAGGGTTTTTTGTTTCTGATATTCGGTCTGTTGAGGTCCTCTCTTCTCTATTCCTTTGATTGCTGAAATTGTTTTAATTTCTTCGATTGGGTTGTGGCTTCTCTCTCTTTGGTTGTTGATAAATTCTGTCATATTGCTGGTTGCGCTCTTTCTGAGTTTTTGCTGCTTGATCTTCTGGTTCTGTTTCATCTTGGTTCTTGTGTTATCATAAGTATTGTAGTTTTGTTTTTTATTTGATTCATGACTAATTCTGATGCTGGTATTGCTGTTCAACCTACGAACGGTCACTCTGATAGAAATAATGTTGCTATGAATTCTCAACTTCAACTAATAAGTTGCTTTCTACGAAAAAAATCAATGTTGTTCTTGATGACAATTACCTGTCGTGGCATCAGCATGTATACTTGATTATCAAAACTCATCGTTTGTTAAGGTTCATAGATAGCAAAATTACAGTTCATGTTCAGTATCTTACACAGAATGATGTTGTTACCATTAATCCGGAGTTTGAGTGGTTTGAGGGGCAAGACGGTGCTCTGCCTGCATGGTTTTTATCTACGGTGAGTGAAACTGTTCTTCCACACTTAATTGGTTTAAACACTTCCTCTGCCATTCGGAACACCTTACATCGTTTACTTCAATCTCAACGAAAAACTAATCTCAGTATGCGTGACTACTTGATGAAGATTAAGAATATCTGTGACAATCTTGCTAACTGTGGTGATGTTATATCTGAACATGAACACATAATGACTGTTTTGAATGGTTTACCTCCTGAGTATGATTCTATTATTACTGCCATTGCTGCTAGTGCTACTGCTTCCGATTTAACTGTTGTTACTACCATTTTACTTGATGCTAAAGCTCGTCAAGGTAGTATAGTTGAATCTGTTACTGATGCTACTCATACCGTTTCTGCTGATTTTCAGCAGACTAATAATAGTTTTTCTAGTCAGAATAATTCTCAGAATTTGCAACATGAAAATAATAACTATGCTCAGAACAATAGAGGTAGAGGGAGAGGTTGGAGTTCTTCTAGGCTTCAATGTCAGTTGTGTGGGAGATTAGGTCACCTTGTGGATAAATGTTACTGTAGATTTGATAAGAATTTCAAGAATGAATCTGCTAGAAATTCGCAGAGTCAAGGATATTCTACAAATCAGGCCAATATTTGTACTTATAATGCTCATGGCTCTGTTTCTTCCCATTCGTGTAATTCTACTCATCCTTGTCGTAATATTGTTTACACCGCAGTTGCTGCAGTAAGTTCAGCTCATGCGTGTCATCAGTTTAATTCTCAGATGGTTCCTCAACATATTCAGCCTGCAGCATTTACTGTTTCTCACAGTCTCCATCACGTGCCACAATCTGTTTACATTCATGTTACTCAATCAGTAACTTCAGTACCTGTTTCGGCATACTCTTTTGCTACCCAATATAATGATAATGTTCAAGTTCATGTTCATGTTACAGCTCCTGAATTTGTAGCAGACAATGCATGATACCTTGATTCAGGTGTCACTCCCCATCTTACAAATGACCTTATTAATCTGCAGATTGGTGCAATGTGTCCTGGGTCAGGTAATATTCAAGTAGGAAACGGAAGTACGGTCCCAATCAAATTTACTGGTCAATCTACTCTTCTTGCTAATAATAATAAGGTATATGTCAAATAAGTTGCTTTTCATACCTAATATTACTAAAGATCTGATTTGTTCACACAGGACAACAAGGTTTCCCTTGCATTCTTTCTACAGCCTGTGTTGTTCGAGATTTAAATACCAGGAAGGTTCTTCTATAAGGTCGTGAGTCAGGTGGACTGTATAGCTTAGCAGCTTCGAGAATAAATCTACTACTGTTGGTAGCTTTATGTTAAATAATAGTTCTGCTGCTATAAATAGTGTTAGTAATAATTCCATTTCTTGTCATTTGTCTTCTGCTGATTCTTCTTTAGATGTATAGTACAGAGACTTGGTCATCCATCTTTGGATGTTCTGACTAAGACTCTTTCTCAGTGTAATATTCCTATTGTTTCTAATAAATCGAACACGCTTTCTGGGAATTCTGTGCTTTGTGCGAGATAAGATTAAACATGAATTCTTACGATTGTTTGATGTTCGTTATTCCAATCAACCGGTTGATGTCTTCTTGAAAATCCTACGTCATCCTATGTATCGTGTGTTTGTAGATAAGTTGGGACTACTCGATATTCATACACTCGTTTTGAAGGGGGTGTCAGAGTAACTATTATGTCAGTTAAATTTGTTATTTTAGTTTAGTTTAATTTAATCGGCTAAAAATATCTTATTTATATAAGAGTTGTATTCTTTACATCGAGTGATAAATGAAAGCAAATTCTTCACTTAGTTCTCTCTGTCTTTTCCGTTTTCATTTCTTTACAGTTTTCCGCTGTTATAGCCTCGCTTTTTTTAACAGTGCTGAGAACTTGATGATTATTTAAAACAATACTTTGATTACGATTGTCTGACACTAAAATTCTGTGATAATGCTTACCTTATTCTCCGATCTATAAAATCATATACTATTATTATATTTAATTATTTAATGTAAAGGTATCACCAGGCATGCATGCGTCTAAAGGGTTTTAGACTTTTAGTCATTTTCTGTATGCAAGTACAACGATTGATTCGGCCATGTACTCTTCCTGTTTCACAAACACACAGTCGTCTAAAGGTTTTTCATTTTAAGTTTATTCGTTAATTATTTTTTATAATTTTAATATTAAATTGGGGATAAATTATACGTTTAGTATCTAAATTATCAATTTTGATTTATTTTAATATCTAAACTTTCATTTTTTTTAAATTATATCTAATATTTAGTTCTTATTTCATTTTAATATCTATACGTTAAAAACTTAACGAGTTTGGCACCTAAACTATCGGTTTTAGTGCATTTTAGTATCTAAACTCTCATTTTTTTTAAAAAAACTTAATGTTAAGTTTTAACATGTACTAAAATGAAATAAAAATTAAACGTTAGGTATGATTTTAAAAAATAAAAAATTTAAATACTAAAACATATCAAAACTGATAGTTTAAAAATTAGACATGTAGTTTATCCTTAAGTTTATATTAATTATTTTTATATAATGTAATAATTTTTTATTTATATTATCATTAACTATTTCAAAAACATGATTATCATTATATACTTGACTCATTTTTTTATAGTTATTTTATATATTAAAGCTCGATCTAATATTATAAGAAATTATATTATAACTTTTTATGATATTAATTATGATTTTAATTGGTAAAAATAGTTTGTTTTATTATTTTATATCCATAGTAAACCGTATCGACATGGTGTCGGTAAAAGGTAACCAAAAATATTATGGATTGACTTAGCTTTTCCATACCAAAAAAAACACATCAGTCATGACGTAGGGCCCTTTCTACATCCAATAAAAATTGAGATTATGGATATGTCAGATTTCAGGTTGGGCTTTGAGTCTCATATTATATGTGGATTAATTATTTGTAATTGTGATAATTGATGAGTTATTAGTTATTTATTTAAATTTATAACAAATTATTCTGATATATATTATAATATAATTCTAATAGTTATTTAGTTGATTGTTTCTGATTGTGATGACTGAAAATTGTAAGTGAGAAGAAGAGAGGTCAATGATGTTGTCAAATTGCAAGCTACTTTGGATAAGTTCTCCTTCAAAAGCTTTCATATAATTAAAAATAATAATGATTGAAGCATGCTTTAAGAAGAATTTTGGATTGTGGGGATGTGCCGAACAAAATCGCCCATTTTCCAAGTCTCACTACATTTACCCGAGGACACAAAGGTTGTCAAAATAGATACTTTTCCCATTTTAATGAAATGGCCTAATGAGAATTTTTATCCTTCACAAGCATTTTAATCTTTAATTGTTTTCGTCTTTTTTAACTTTAGGTAATTAAAGAGTATATATTTATAATTTCTTACTTCATTAGTAATACGCACACACACTACGGTCACAGTTGATCGAATTCATATTCTCTAAGAAAAATAATATTCTCTTTTATTATAGAAATCACGTATTAAATTCTTTTTATTTTTTAATCTTTAAATATTTTGATATAAAATTAATTCAACTAATAACAAGTAACAGTTGAATTGTCATCAACTATTTTATTTTTATTTTGTCAATATTGATATTAGTTATTCAACCCTTTTATAAGAAAATTTGACCTAGTGGGATATAGCTTTGTTTTCCTTTGAGAGTCAAACAAAGCATAGCTTTATGATTGGCCTTCCTCTGTTTTAGTCCAAGATGGTAGAAGTTTTTCATTGGTAGAAAAAATGATACCTACCTCATGTGATTGACCCCCAATTAAAAGAATTTGACTATCTATGTAAGGTCGGTTTTAAAAGTTTGCAATTATGAATTGATTCATGTTTTTTTTATAAATTTATCTAACGTCTCAAAAATTTAAATACGAATAAATATATTTAATTAGTTGATTAAATCGTTCATCTTTTTAATTTTGTTTTTATATTCTTTTATGTCATGATTTTAGAGGAGTTTCTTTCTCTTAGAGTCTCTTTTCTCCCTCCTACAAGTAAGATTAAAACTAAATTTAGAATTTATAAAAAAATACAACCAAAATATTAATGTTTTAATATTGTTGAAGTATAAATATAAAATATGATAAAAATCACCTAAAAGAAACTTTTAAGTGTACGTAAGCATAAAATATTCCACAAATTAAAATTTTAATGATCTCACATATAAAAATGAGAATTATTTCTTCTAAAAGTATTAAATTCGAGTAGTTATATATATATGATTTACACGTTATCATTAATTGATTTTTTTTAAATAAATATTATCTTATAATAACTATTAAAAAACTTTTGATAATCCATAATTCTAATTAGAAAATGTAATTTTAAACATAAAAGAAAAAAAAGCACCCGCGTAAGGTCCATGTAGTTCAACGTTGAAACTTTTCATTCTCACGTGCTTTTACTTTTAAAAATGGCAAGTTGCGAGACAAGAACAAGCGATTTGTTACCTAATTAATTGTTTGCATCATTTGGAGGAAATCTACGGTTCTAATGCCCTTTCCATCTTACAATAATCTAATTACACGTATGAATAATTTGTTTCCATTCCTTTAAAAAAATATTGTTGAAACGATTTTTTAAGTGAAGGTGCGGGATTTTGAAAACCACGCCATTTTTAATTATTATCTTTACGATTAAATTTTAATTAAAAACAATTCGATATTAAAAAATTTTCCGTTTCGAAAATTTGATATTTCCTTTACTATAAAAAAATGTAGGTTCAAAGAGTCGCCACCAATCTTTGATTAAGGTGTGATTGGGCACCCACAAATATTTTGTCATTTTAAATAAAAAATAATTTTAATTAAAACGACAAATTTACGGTCTACGTTACCAAAATTCAGGTTCGAGAGTCGATTACGCGTAGGGAAGGATTAGCACCCCCACAGCGCCCTAAATCAGTACCTAGTCGATTAATTAATATCTTTTCAACGAATTTCACAAGTTCAACTTTAATTTAATTTTTGATCCCTTAAAACAACAAAGGTGCAATTTATAACATTCAAAAGCCACGAAATAGGTTAAATTAAAATTACCAAGCCATTAAAAAGATAAAGAATATTCGATTATTTAAAAAAATATTGAGACCAGATCTTTAGGTCAGTTCTAACGACCTTTTCTAAACAAATTTAAATAACCGAACTTTCCTTTTTCTTTCACTCTCAAATTTTAAAGTGAAGAATCGAATTTTTGGTAACACTAATGGGATACACTTGTAATTTAAAATCGTCGAAGACAACTTCAGTAAGTAAGAAAAGCCATTTTAAAGTGAAGAATCGAATTTTTGGTAACACTAATGGGATACACTTGTAATTTAAAAGCGTCGAAGACAACTTTTCAGTAAGTTAAGAAAAGCCATTACGACAATTTTAAATTAAAAGAGTATTACCCTTAATCAGATTATGTGATAGGTCGAGTTGTGCAAATGAGGTTAACATGCAAAATTGATTAAAGAGATGCTTATTTAATAATAATAATATGAAAAATTAACATGCAAGAATATTACTTATTTATATATATTAATATGTACATACTATACGACTTAAATACAAAAATAAAAACATAACATATCAACTATGAGAAAACTGTACATATTAAACTAATGACTAAATCACATTAAAAAATTAATATCTAAAATACGAACAAAATAATATTGAAATGTACATATGAATAATACACATAATAAACAATCAACCAAATAAAACAAATCATCACCATGAAGGACTAAACTATGGTCTTCTTTTTTGGTGGCTGAGACCTTCTTCTTCACCATTTAATGCCGTCGGATGGCCTCCAGCCTTGGTGGCCACCTTCCCCCGACAACCGCTAGCTCGACCTAAAACAAACTAAAACAACCACCCCGATCAGACTAAAATATCTTTCCATCTCAAACTCTTTTCTACTCGACCAAGGCCCGCCCAAAGACCAAACCCATGGTCTTCCTTTTTCTTTCTCTCGGTGATAACTCAAACTAGCATCAATGGTCATTAAGACTACTAAACATGGCGTGAAACCCCCAAACAACCTAGAATAACCTGAACTCACTATTTCCATTCCTAAGCTTGCTCATCCCTTCGACCGAACCTAAAACAAGCTTCCAAACTCGCCTAACTCTCACCTTTACACTTTCCAGCGACCTTTGAGACCTCGACTTCCGACAACCCTGATAACCATCTCTCAAGGCTAAGGTAAACTACTATTCTCTTAATCTCTCAAAAATGCTTTATTGCTTTCGAATAGAGAGATGAATATTTCCCCTATTTACAGTATTTTCTTCAAGAAAAAAACCCCCTCTTTTTGTTACTAGTATTTCGAATAGAATTCCCCCCTTTTTCATTCCCCCTCCCTGATTATTTCTTCTTCCTCACCGAATCTCCTTGGTCGTTACATGCTAATTACTTTCTGTTGGTGAGTTTGA